AAACGTATAAAGTACTATGATTTGAGGATATGCATCTGGAATACGGACCCTTAATGAGGAAGGTGCCTCTGCTCGGCTAGTGGATGTCCTCGGGAAGACAAAGGCTGACATCACCGCCATCCAAGAAATGGGATGGACGGGGCAAGGAAAAGTAAGTGTGAGGCCTTGCATTGTCTACTACAGTTGCCACGTAAAGGAGCGCAAATTCGGTGTTGGATTCGTGGTATGAGAGAGATTCCGTCGCCGAGTACTGGCTTTCATCCAATACCACAATCCGCATCAAAGCTAGATTCTTCAGCATCTCGCTCATCTGCGCCCATGCTCGACGGAAGAGAAGGATGAGGCGTTCAATGATCTCTTCTATGAGCGGTTGGAACGTACATATGAGCGCTGCCCCCGACACGATGTCAAAATCGTGCTTGGCGATTTTAATGCCAAGGTGGGCAAGGAAGGGATCTTTGGCGCCACTGTCGGAAAATTCAGCCTCCACGACGAAACGTCCGATAACGGACTGAGGCTGATTGACTTCGCCGGGTTCCAGCATAAGAACATCCACCAAGCTACATGGCTGTCTCCAGATCGCAAAACGAGAAACCAAATCGATCATGTTGTGATAGACGGAAGGCATGCTCCAAGCGTTTTAGACGTACGTCCACTCCGAGAGCCATACATCGACTCGGACCACTATCTTATTGTAGCCAAGATATGCACCCGCCTCTGTGCAGCAAAAAATAAGCGCCCAACACACAACACGACCAATTTCACAACAGACGACCAATTTATTCACCACTAGACTCACACACCTGCTCTCTGAAAGCACTCTCCAACAATCTGACATACGCGAGCAGTGGAACCATATTTCCCGATCATTAAGTACCGCCGCCGAAGATGTAGTTGGATTTCAGCGAGCCCGAAAGAACAACTGGTACGATGAGGAATGTCAAAAAGCAGCAGAGAAAAAAGGCTCCGCCTATAGGGCCACNCGAGAAACCAAATCGATCATGTTGTGATAGACGGAAGGCATGCTCCAAGCGTTTTAGACGTACGTCCACTCCGAGAGCCATACATCGACTCGGACCACTATCTTATTGTAGCCAAGATATGCACCCGCCTCTGTGCAGCAAAAAATAAGCGCCCAACACACAACACGACCAATTTCACAACAGACGACCAATTTATTCACCACTAGACTCACACACCTGCTCTCTGAAAGCACTCTCCAACAATCTGACATACGCGAGCAGTGGAACCATATTTCCCGATCATTAAGTACCGCCGCCGAAGATGTAGTTGGATTTCAGCGAGCCCGAAAGAACAACTGGTACGATGAGGAATGTCAAAAAGCAGCAGAGAAAAAAGGCTCCGCCTATAGGACCACGAACGAATAGCGATTACGCGGCTGAAAAACAACAAAGCTGCTGGAGCTGACGGCCTGCCAGCCAAGCTATCCAAGTACGGCGGCGAGGAGTTGATGAGATGCATGCATCAGCTCGAATGCAGAATATGGTCAGATGAACANTTACGCGGCTGAAAAACAACAAAGCTGCTGGAGCTGACGGCATGCCAGCCAAGCTATCCAAGTACGGCGGCGAGGAGTTGATGAGATGCATGCATCAGCTCGAATGCAGAATATGGTCAGATGAACGCATGTCCGACGAATGGAATTTAAGTGTGCTCTGCGCAATCCACAAGAAATGCAACCCCTGTCGTCGAATGAATGACGGTTTATGACAGTTGTTATGATATGGAACGATATTGGGACGAAGGTTTGGTATAATGTGTGACGAGGAGAGCGTAAGCATTTTCATGGATTGCTCTAAATTGATAACGAGAGTGTGTGCCGGGAAGTGAATGTCAGGCGGGCGGTAAGGTTACCTGATCAGCGCAGCATATTTCTAGCAGAGGTTTTTGGTATGAGGATAGCAGCAGTGCTAGCCTGCGACGTAACGATAATCAACTCAAAAGTAAACTTAAACGTAGACAGTCAGGTAGCAATTAAGGCAGTTAACTCATATGGTATTTCATCTAAAAACATCCTTCGCAGCCGGGACCTACCGGTCTATGTGTGGCTCAGCGCCAGCCATATCAACCTAACATTTGGTATGTAAGAAGTTGAACAATTAAAATGCAGCAAAATAAAAANACCGGTCTATGTGTGGCTCAGCGCCAGCCATATCAACCTAACATTTGGTAGGCAAGAAGTTGAACAATTNAACTCATATGGTATTTCATCTAAAAACATCCTTCGCAGCCGGGACCTACCGGTCTATGTGTGGCTCAGCGCCAGCCATATCAACCTAACATTTGGTATGTAAGAAGTTGAACAATTAAAATGCAGCAAAATAAAAAAAAATACTTGCCATTGCCGATTTCATTTCATCTATTTGGAACAAAAATCCATGCATTAGACGTCGTTGCAATAAAATGAGATTAAAAAAAACATGTCAAAACCATCAGATAAATGAGATGATTGCTGTCAAATTTTCTAGCAGCACCGCTCGCCAATTTTTATTCACCCCATAGCTGTCAAAAATGTACAATCCAGGGGTTGAACCTGCGTTATTGTGAAGTAAAAAAAAATACATTAACAACGCATTTATTTCGGTGTGAATTTGTAAAAATACTTTTCACTTCACGACAACACAGAACCAGAATTGACCTACAGAGTACTTTGCTATCAATTGGCTTAGGCCCTTACAGTTAACAACAGTTTGTTGTATCAGACTAACCAGTGGATCTGCTGTCATCAGTTTACACTACCAACCACGGCTTCTGCCTTTAACACATGTAAATGAGAAATTGATTGGCCTGTTTATTTGTGCAAACAACAATTCTCGTGGTATCAACTTTTATACTTACATCTTTCTACCAGTTGTTTTATTTTTCTTCTGCAGCTCGACAACTATGCGCATGCGCATCTNAATTGATTGGCCTGTTTATTTGTGCAAACAACAATTCTCGTGGTATCAACATTTATACATCTTTCTACCAGTTGTTTTATTTTTCTTCTGCGGCTCGACAACTATGCGCATGCGCATCAGCGCGATTATATAAAGAACTGTCTCATCGCGAATGTGAAGTCACTTTAATTTCGCGGCTTGGAGTGCGCAGTGCGTTAGTGTTTAATAAATTAGCTGTTGGAACTTAAATTTTTATATTCGAAGGTGAATTTCATAACCAGGGAAATTAGTGCATTAAATAAATAAAGCGGCGTGAAAATTTTAATAAACATTGAAGGTTTTTACTAATTAAAGTGTAAATATGTATTTATAAAGAGAACAAAATGAAAACTCTATAGAATTACATATAGGATTACACATCTAGTATACAGAGAAAATAAAAATACATAGAATATTCAAAAGAAATGGGAAATAAAAGCAAATCATATATAACAAAAAAGGAACATCAATCAGTTTAAACATTCTACGCTTTGGTGCATGAGCGCACCGTCTCATTGCAATAAATACTTATAACTATGCATGTATATATACATATATTTTTACTGCATACTATGTATATGAATATGTTTTGGTTATTTTATTATAAATGGAAGTCNATAAAAATACATAGAATATTCAAAAGAAATGGGAAATAAAAGCAAATCATTATAACAAAAAAGGAACATCAATCAGTTTAAACATTTTATGCTTTGGTGCATTGCAATAAATACTTATAACTATGCATGTATATATACGTATATTTTTACTGCATACTATGTATATGAATATGTTTTGGTTTGGTAAATGGAAGTTTTTTTCGTTAAGATATGTATGTTTATTTTCTTAATCGTTAATATACAAATTTTTGATGAGCTCACAATGAACGTCAGGTATCTATCTTTGCAAATTACAGTAAAGAACAGTGTGGATATTTACACGACTATTCTGGCAACAAAAGTCTTTCGTAAGGCAATTGTCTATTCCGGCAACTATCTTGAAAGCACTTTACTGTTTTTCGAAAGACTAATTGACTGTGAACGAGGAAGTATTAGTGTTATGCTGTTCACCTTTTAAGAATAAGTTTTTTTTTTTATTAAATTAAATTTAGAACGTATACATATATTTTTCTTTTTAAAGCAAGAAAATCTAATAAATAAAAGAAAGTTAAATAAAAAGTAATGAGCATATGTTAAAAGCAAATAAAGCAAAAATAAATGGCAACATTTTTAAAAATACATTCGCTTACCAAATTTCAGTCGAATATCACGAAAACTGAGGGACTAAATTGCGTTCAAACAGACAGACAGATGAACTTGGCTAAATCGACTCAGCTCGAAGTTCTTATCATTTGGCAAACATTTATTTGGGTCTATATCTGGTATTTATAATAGCAGTTAATAAGCATGAAAGGTATTCAAAAATGGTGGAAAGATTATAAATAAAAACTAATAGAGATATTCCAACGCACAATTAGCTAGGCGAAAGTTACTTCATTCCACTTTAATATAAAATTAGTTGCTTTAGAATATTCTGTTCCATTTCGCAGGTTGTTGCATTTTTCAATTTGCAGCTCCATTATTCGTACATTCGCGACCGCATGTTTATTGCTAACATATTGAAAGATCATGCACCAGAGATATATGTGTGTACCTAGCAAAATGCTATCGAAACATAAAAAAACAATAAATAAAAATGTATGTTTTCCTTGTTTTTTGAACTTTAAAAGTGTACAGACGTGCGGTTTGCGACCGTTGGAAATGCCTATATATAAATAAAATAAAATTTTCTGCTGGTAAAAGATTCTATGCGTTTGTTTAATGAGCAGATGTTTTTTCAGTATTTCATTTAAAATAAAAAGTTTAACGATATACATATATCGATTTATCGAATTTTTTCTCTGAAATATCGAGTACGGCCAGTATCGACACTTTTGCAGCTCTATGACTAAGGTTGATTTTTTATTTTCGCTCGCTATTACATTTCTCACAGCCATTAAGCTTAACATCTCTCACATAAATCGTTCTATCGGAGACNGTTTAATGAGCAGATGTTTTTTCAGTATTTCATTTAAAATAAAAAGTTTACCGATATACATATATCGATGTATCGAGTTTTTTCTCTTAAATATCGAGTACGGCCAGTATCGACACTTTTGCAGCTCTATGACTAAGGTTGATTTTTTATTTTCGCTCGCTATTACATTTCTCACAGTCATTTAGCTTAACATCTCTCACATAAATCGTTCTATCGGAGATATATGTATATACATATCACTAAACGTAAAAAGGAACTGCTTAATGATAGTAAAAGTTACAATTTGTTTGATGTGGACCAGATATTTTCGGTCTCTGCCTTTGAAATACATACATAGCTAATAAAACGCCTTCAATGATTTAGTCCAAATAGCCTTCGCATAGATGTATCGGCAACAATTTTCGCAGTTCAGTTATCAGCTTGGGATTTCGGTAAAAAAGGCTGGTTGCTCCATTATGTTCATTGAAAACTTTAGAACTGTCCTTGTCTTTCAACTCCTCTGGACTTAAAATCAACACAGAGTAGAGTATAGGCAGTAGTAAAGTGATAATAAAAACCGCTGTAATAGAAAATTAAAAAAGCAGTGGCGTAATCAAATTTATATTGCTAAATTAATCGTCATTATCATTAACTTCAATTTGATATTTTCAAGCAAAAGCAGCACAAAGCTTTTAAAATTAATATAGGCATTGTTTTCAGGACTGAGTTGCCAATAAACCTTTTTTGTTTAAAAAGAGGCGTTTTTAGTTGTGAGTTATGTTACGTGCATCTGAAACCAACTAACGGTATATTAAAAAAAAACGCCTTTCCAAAAAGATGCATCTTAGGACATTTTGTAGTGATGCCGATGATGTGCTAGACCCCTATATATCCTTTTCTATGTATGTGTGTATTTATATACATATCGAGCCCTAACCGCCAAAAAAATGTAAGCGAAACTTTATTCAAAATTTGATTTTTGATGCAGAAATGTTCAATGATGCATTTCTTATTAAAAAAAAATTTTGGGGGTTAGGGCTCAATATATAGGTCAATATAAAGATTGTTGCATTTACATATATGTACATATATTTACTCACTGAAGTGTCTATATCGCAAAGCACTTATTTTTAAATCACAATATTTCAGCAATTCGCCCTTGTAATCGATTAATTTCAACGTCTCATTGAATTGTTCAAAATACGATCGCAAATAAACGTCGTAGTTGTCTCGCATCGCTGAACTACACATCGCATATTTGGAGTAAATTAAGTCGACAATGGGTGGCGCATAGACGCTAAGGTGAAAGTCCAACTAAAAATGTGAAGCAGTATACCTAATTATTAGTACAATGAATGGTTCAGGTTTAATTTTTAATTCGGAATATTTACCAACATAAAATCCTGCATTTGGGATTTTTCATCGAATCTAAACATTAGGTTCTTCAAATGAAAGTCCCCATGATTGATCACAAGAACTTCATTTTTTATTCCGTTTTTATAGACATTAAACAACTTGTGGCATCGGCGTAAAATATCTTTTTCCATTACTTGAAATTTCGGCAGATATTCACTGAACTCGTCATGCGTCGTTAGCAAGTCGATAAAGTTACGCAAAGCGGTCTTGAATAATTCATACTCTAAAATAAACTCCGAACTGAACAATCCTTCCTGATGTTGTGTAACTACTTCGTGATCCTCACTTTGACCAATCGCATAACTCACTGCGTGCACTTTGGCCAATTTACGATATATGGCCTTCATTTCATCGTCTGTGGGGAAACGGTTGCGCATCACTGTATACCCATTTTCGCTAAGATCCTCTAAAATAATTATTTGACGTGGTTCTAAGGTGCTGTACAACATTCTAAAGTGAAAATAAACGAAATGGATTTAAATTAAGAAATTCCTAATGTGAATTGTGGTGTACTACATTGTACCGGTTCGGTATTCATGCAATTAAAAAGAGAAAATTGAACGAACTTAGGGCTGACTGCAGTTCTCAAGAAAAATCAAAAGAAATAGTTTTAATATTTCCGTTGCTCGAAGATAGCTTGGTTACAAACTTTTTTTCACAGCTGAGTCTAAGTAAGTAAGTACATTCATGTATGTGTGTTTATTCCTTACTTTGGTGCCAGCACAATTGAATCGCCGTGTTCCGCCAAAACCTCGGCAATTCTCGGTAGTGTATTCTTATACATATTGATTTCCGTTTGAAACATTCGCGACTGTTCCAACATTTCACATTTTTCGCCGCCATCTGTCAGTGTTTTCACAATCAGTGATATTGTCGAAGAGGGCGCCTGCGATGTCGTTTTATATTCAATCTTGGCACGAAACATTATACTGGCAAAATGATCTCCCTTCATGCTAGCTGGACTAATATCCAATTTAATTATCTGTCAATTATAGTTAAATTTGTTTGGTAAAATCTGAACAGACACTCAACGTACATTTAGGTGTACCAAATACCTTGATTCCATCCCCTGTTTCCAAATTTCTCAAAACTTCGCCAAAGAATTCCTCGTTCATCCATGCTGGCGCCACTAGCTCGTCCACGTTATATACACTCATACCTTGGCTAGTTCAAAATCACAACTGGATATATATTTTATATTTATAACAAGAGTAGCAGAGTAGTAATTTTTGATTTCATATATGTATCTATGTATGTAAATACATGTGATCGATAAGATATCAGATAATGACATTTAATGTACATGCAGGAAATGGTGCTGAGCCGAGCGGAGCGAAGATTGCTGTAATTAATGAGAGTTTCCATAAATACTACGTCAAGCTTTTACAGCGAAATAAGCGATCAACTAGGGGAACTTTATTTTATAATTTATCACATTTGATACTACTTATTTTAAGTAGGTAAGTACAAAAAAAAATTGGTTACGCCGGTTCTGCTCTAATGGCCTTATGTTATCTAAACCAGGGGTTCTTCAACTTTTAAGCTGATTGAACGCTTACTAAACACCTATCATTTTATGGAACACCACATCAAATTACTTAAAATCAAAGGCGTTAAAATTCAAATATGAATAAAAACTTTTACTAGAAATAGTATACATACTTTAAATTTTAATGTTGTGAATGAAATTGTTTCACTGTTATTAATTATTGTATAAAATAGTTCGAAATAATGTCTGAAAGCTGTATGCGCATTTCTGGGGTGGCATCCAATTTCGATCTGAATTTGTTTTTTGTATAAGTGTAAGCTGTTGACAGAGTACGTTGTGACAGAAGGAAGCAAAGTTAAGATGGCCTTTTTAGCCACTCGAAAACTAATACATGGAATCAAATCCAGTTTTCACCGATTTATTGCGGACTTAAAATAAAGAAAAATAAAATTTAGAGAGTTGCCAACTGTTCGAACATTTCAGTTGAGGCCATAAACTAAATATTGTAGTATGCGTATCAATTTAAAGAGGCTTAGGAAAGTTTACTGTCGTTTTAAAAATTGCGTTCAGTTAAATTGGTATGGTAAATATTAAATTAGTACTCGTTCGAAGAAAGTGCGCAATATATAGCTCGAACCTATATGCTTATAAAACAAATTTCGAAGAGAAAGCCGATACTTGACTTACTTTCTAAAACATAAAGAATGCTTCGCAAATCGAAAATTTGTTTGAAAAGCTCACTTCAAAAAGCTCCTTAAATGTATGTATGTATTTTATTTTTCATGAATGAGGTCATAAGGCACGGTGCACATTAGAGCGATACGATAGTTGTTGAGTACATGTAAATTGGTAGGAAACGATGCGAACTGTACACACTTGCATGACAGCGATACTGCTGCGACATAATTTTGCATGCTTAGCGGTCGTGCGACATACATAGTATCGCATGCGTATCGGCCGTGCGACACGGTTTTCTATCACACCGCACATGGTATCGCGTGCCGCATCGCAAATCGAATCGGCCTAGTGTGCACTGCGCGCATGTCGATGTCGCTTTCATATCGCATCGCATATCGTATTGCTCTAATGTGCACCGTGCCTTAGAATGCAACTCCATAACAAGCTCTTCGGGCGTTCCATACTTTTCAGGCTTTCAGCAATAGCTGAATTGTGTAGCTAGCTGAAAGCCTGAAAAGCTTGTTGTGGAGTTGTACACTAAGAATTTCGGGAGGGAGCAACAACATAAAAATACTTTTAAAGCACAGGGAATGCTAGTTAGTTAATTTTTTGCGTAAGAAAAGTTCGTTCCTAAGTCTTTCGTTGACTTAAAATGCATAATTAACTTTCAGTTCTTTTGTGATTAATTTTGATATTCAAACATTTTAAACTAATGAACGCTATGTGAAAAATTTTGTTCTCGTTTCCATTCTACGCCAATGGTTCAGAAAAGATTTGTTTCCATTTAGTTTTCTGTCAGAAAATTCCTAAGGCTTTAGTTCCCAAATTGTTCTTCGAGAGAAGGTTTCTTATAATTTTGTTCCCGTTTAGTTCTTTTTCAAAAAGCTCCGAATACTTTTGTTCCCATTTTGGTCTCTTTGGAAATATTCCATAGGGTTTTGTTCTTATATAATTCCCATTGAGAACGTTCCTGACAGTTTTCTTCTAATTTTGGTTTTGGTTTTGAAATGTCCTTGAGAACAAAACTACGAGAACGGCATTTAGTTTCGATCACACCTTTTTTTCTCGGTCCCTGTTTTAAATTCAAAAGCACAAATATTTATGTAAATTAAAAAAATATCCATCAAGAAGTAAGGCTATGAAATTAAAAGAACATATCCCATTAGATAAAATTAAACTAAAAAAATTGACTCTCTGCCCGAAGTTTTGAACCACGGATGCCTAGTATTTCACCCCAGTCTCTAATTTGTCGGCCATTGTGACTATTGTATTAGTACTTAATTTTTTCTTTAATTGACGATGCCTACGCAGACTGCCCCACCAACTGGAGTGACGCTACTATTATTTCTACTGGTTGGTGGTGATAGGCAGGCAGCCTGACAATGACTTGGTAGTAGCATTCTAGTTGGAAACTAGGAGCTTTCACAACAGGGCAAATATTGCTTACTTAGGTACTTATGTTAACTTGTTAGTAAGGCTATAGTTACGGTGACCATATTAATAAGCGGTTTATAAAGGACATTTTTTTCAAAAGTGATATCGGAATTTACCTGTCAGTTATATTATTTAATTAAAGAACCTTTCTTCTTGAAAGGCGCTGTATGGTTACAGGTTAAACCGATTCTGAAAAATCAAACAAAATCCTTATCAATGACTTCGCCATCCTTTGCTGCCAAAACGCATGCCGCATTGCAAGTTTTTAGGGAAGGAGCGCTTGTTATAATTGCTACTATATACATATGTATTTCCCCCATACATATCCCCAGTATTAGCAATCATACGCGATTTTTAGCCTGTACAAAGATTACCGATTAAATAAGAATCCTTAAGTGGGATGCGAAAAACACTGGTAAAGATTTTCATTCGATTCTATAAGGCACATTTTTATTTTTGAAAAACAGTTTAAGATATAAAGAACAAAGGGCGTCCTTTATTAAAAAAAATAAAATAAAGGGCAGGGGTTAATATAAAGGACAGTCCTTTAAAATAAAGAACGGTTGGTCACCGTAGCTATAGTTAACGCTTTATAATTGCAGATGTTTTAAGTTGCATAAAACAGTTTTCACTTTTTCTTTACACTTACACCAGTTAATGCTTACACGTGGGCAAGTCTTAATGCATATGTACACATACCACGCATTCATAACTCTGCAATAGATACTCAACAACGAAGGCGTTGCATGCAAGCAAATTATTGTCAACTTGTGTATGTATACGCGTATTAGGGATGTTAGTATTCAAGTGAATTTTTCAATAAATTATAAAACGTTTAAGAAATATGTATGCTGGATTTTTTCTGTGTTCGTATGGAATAGTAGCTTATGTCAGGAAGCTGGCTTGAGTATAATGCGGCATTCCCTTTATTCTTTAAACAACAAGGAATTTTCTGATGAGACTCAATAAGAATATTGGCTTGTTAGTATCGGAACTATTTCTTGCTCGTTTATTTGCCAAAGTTCTTCGACAGCTCGGCGCCAGTGAGTCATTAGCAATCGTATGCTGCAAATGCCGCATTATACTAAAGCCAACCTTTCGACATTAGCTACTATTCTATATGAACACAGATATGTACGGTTATGTGCAAAATTTTAAATGATATGATGCTTTTTGGAACTAATTTCCGTCAGAAATTGTTAAGCTTTTAAGAAGATGGCGCTTCACGCGCGTGCATAAAAACTCACTGTAAGCTTTATGACAATCATAAACTTCAAAATTCGACTGATATTTTTTTAGACTGAAAATAACCGCTAATTTCTGCTTCCCATTTTCTAGGCATTTATAAAGACCTAAGTTAAGGAACGAAAAGTTCCTGAAAAATACCAAAAAGGTCTCGAAAAAATCCCGAAAATCCCTAAAAGTACCGAACTATTGCGGGAAATTAAACACAAAGTATTCTCAAAAGCCCCTAAAAAATCCAGAAAAGTTCTGAAACGATTTCGTAAGATGAAACACTCAGAATTTGGAATCCAAAATTAACGCATATTTTCTGCTCAAAAAATATCACGCAAATTTCGAATTTTATTTGTTTCGGGTATCTTCGAAAAAGTAGTACGTACATTTGTTTAAAACTTCTAGTTATAGTTTCGATCCTGTGGGTATCCTGCAAGAAATAGGAACACTTAAGAAACTATCAATTACATTCAGGTGGTACGGCCAGATTCCAAATTAATACATTTTCCATGCATGTCACTGGTATATTTAACACTGCGTTGTCCTTGGCTGTGGCTAATTGCCCCCTCTGCATAAGCTTGCACTATTTCAGAACGAGTGCCGGCAGCAAATAGAAAAAATGGACTCCAACAAAGCATAATAAGAACTTGCAGCTTCGATAGACGGCAGGCAACGTTGATCCGGATTAACTGCGCAGTTAATTCTATCAAAATTGCGAGCGACAAGGGCGATGGTTCCAATCCCCCGACCAGGTTCATTTTATTTTTTAAATTAATCGAAATATTAGTTAATTATTTTTAATGTTGCTGCTAGCTAGTTGCTGCGGATGTTTTAATAAAATTAGACTCTAAAAATTCTAACTTAACTAAAATATAATAGATAATTTAAAATAAAATAAAACAAAACAAAATAAAATAAAGTAAAATTAAATATGTAAATCAAATATAATAAAAAAATGGAAATAAAAGTAAAAAATGCTTGGCAATTTCTCGAACTGGTTTGAGGATTAACTCTAGGAATTTATAAGTATCAACGGCAGTTCATTCCCGATGTAATTCCATATTAACGAGTGGATCCGGATTAAGGCTGCCATCTGTCTATGCTTTTAGATCAGTTCGGACTATTTATTTAACTATATTTAACTATTAAAAATCTGGAATCTGTTCCTTCTTGCAGGCCACCCCTAATGTATGTACTTTTGTATGCATGCATGTGAATATGGGGCGTTCCATACCAAAACGGACGGGGTTCACACTTCATGTATTTGATTTGTTTAAAATTTTTAGGGTTGATGCATAAACTTACATATTAAATAAATATGAAACTTGAGCTTGGTTAATAAATTTTTAAAAAGTTTACAGCATAAAAACAAAAACAAATCGATTTAATAGTTTTCCTAATATCTCGTGAACGGGGCGAGAAAAAAATTTGAAAAAAACACACATACACACATTAAAACTTTCTATGAAAAGAAATATTTAAAAAAATTTTTTTTTTTTTAAGTTTTTCACATACAAAATGTTTGATAAAAAACTTAGTTTTTGAAAATATTCCATCTCAAAAAAAAATTAAAAAAATACTATGGTAGCTCTAAGTATTGCGCAATATTTTAATATAGTATTATGGGGTACACTCTATAATAATTTGAGTTATGAATTTCTTTTTACACCGAAGTTGAGTAAAATGTG